AGAGATGTCCATAAATACAGACCCAAAAGGAGACCCAAGCGCGGCCCTCTCCTAGCAGGCTCAAGATTTCCACCTGGCTTCCTGCCCAGAGGCGTCCAGGTGGAGCCCACCCACCGCGGAGCCTGCGGCCCGAGCTCCAGCAGTGCGGGGACTCGCACAACACCGGGTCTGGAAAAAGCCCAAGGGCTGCGTTTTGATTTTATTTTTCTGGCTTCAAACCCTGTGGCCCAGAACAGAAGGAAGAAGCAAGGACACAGGGCTCCGCGGCCCCCACGAGACTCACGGCTCCCCACGCAGGTGCGCAGCCAGCACAGGCTGGGCCCCTCCTTGGCGATAGCCCGGCCCAGATCACTTGGCTCCGTAGGGAGCCTCTCGGGCCGAATGAGCGTGATGAGGTCAGGGCTCTGAGAGGTGGGAGAAGGGTCAGCGTGCCACAGGGGTCCTCCAGAGGGGACCAACTGGTCCACTTTGCCCAGGACTTCCCTGGTTTTAGCACTGAAAGTCCCATGTCCTTGGACATCCCTCATTTGCAGGCAGACTGGGGTGGTTGGCCCCCCTGCTTCCACAGCAGACCTGCCTGGTTGGTGGGGTTCCCCCTTCCTTGGGTTGGGGGTTGCGGGTTGGCCGGGCGGGGTTTTGTTGGGTTGACCTTGTTTTAGGGTTGGGGGGGTGGGTTGGTTTTGGTTTTGGGGCCCCAGGGCCCGGGGGGGGGCCCGGTTGGCCCAGGTGGGGGGGGGGTTGGCTTCCCAGGGCCCGGGCCGGGGGGGGCGTTGGTTCTTGGGGGGGGGGTTGGGGCCCGGGGGGGGCGGCGGGGGGCCGGGTTCCTTCCCGGGGGGGGTTGGCCGGCGGGGGCCCAGTTGGGGCCGTTCGTTTTGGGGGAGGGGGAGTTCCAGGGGGGGTTGGGGTTGGGCCTTCGGGGCCGGGGGGGCCCCGGGGGGGCGGGTTGCGGGTTGGCCCTTCCCAGGCCCACCTTTCTCATCCTACCTGCGCCCACAGCAGACAGCGGCGGCCAGTGACACAGCTGAGGATCCCTGAAGTAGGGGCTCCACGGGGCCAGTGCCCATTGGCTCGTTTGGAGGCAAAACCCACTTGCCTTCTCCAAAATTTGGAGCAATTGGATGGTCAACAGAGCCAGGGGAAGCCCAGAGAGGCTGAGACGCCCTGGAGGCCCCCAGCTTGCTGGTGGCAGAGTGAGCCTGGAACCCAGAGCTTCCGAGTCCCACGTCCCATTTCCACTTCTGCGGCTGTGTGGATCTGGGGGCCCTGAAAATGGTGGGAAGGGGATGGTGCAGGGGGCAGAACCGTGTCCCCCACATCAAATTCACGCCCACTCAGACCTCAGAATGCAACCTGATTTGGAAATAGGGCCTTTGTAGAGGTAGTTAAGGTAAAGACCTAAATAATATCCACCTGAACTAAGGTGGCCCTAAATCCTAACAGATCTTTCTTGTAGAGACAGAAAGGGAGAGAAGATCATGAACAGATGGAGGCAGAGTCTGCAGTGACGGGGCCACTGGGACTGGCAGGGGCCGGGAAGGATCCTCCCGGGAGCCTTTGGGAGGAGCGGGGCCCTGCTGCCGCTCGGTCTCGGACGTCTGGCCTCCAGGGCTGTGAGTATAAATTTCTGCTGTTTTAAGCCACGCAGTGTAGGGTCACGTGTTACGGCAGCCGCAGGAAGCTGGGACCCGTGGGAGAAGGAACCCGGGTGACGCACACACCAGGGCGCTAGACCAGAGCTGCCTTCACGTCTTCCCAAGCGTGTGTGAAAGGAAAGCTCGCTCGGCCAAGCCTGGAGTTCTAGTCCATATGGGGCCAAGTTCCCCCAGAATGAGTTAAGTCGGCATGAAACAACTGTCAAATACTGACCAGTTCATGGGGTTTGACCTAATAGATTTCAATTCCAAAAAAGAAAAAGTGGGGGCCGGGCGCCGTGACTCACACCTGTAATCCCAATACTCTGGGAGGCCAAGGCCGGGAGGATCACTTGAGGTCAGGGGTTCGAGACCAACATGAGCAAGAGCGAGACCCCGTCTGTGCCAAAAATACAAAAATTAGCCAGATGGGGTGGTGGCGCACACCTGTATGTAGTCCCAGCTACTCGGGAGGCTGAGGCAGGAGGATCGCTTGAGCCCAGGAGTTTGAGGTTGCTGTGAGCTATGATGATGCCACTGCAC